ACAGGCACAGCAACTCCAGGGCTAAGCAGGGAGGGCCACGGCCCCTCCTGTGGGTAGTGGCTTGCCTGACTTTGAGGACCATGACTGAGTTGGTATAGTTTATCCTCCTCCTAATTCTGAGAAGCAGACATCTTTGTGTACCCATAGTCCAGAACCTGCTGGGTGGCCCTGCAGCTGCTGTGGCAGAACAGCATCATGGGTCCTGTGTGTGGCCTGCCGGGCCCTCGCCATGGCCCTGGTGGGGAACAGGTGGCCCTGGAGGGGGCAGGTGCTGTGTATGGCCCACTGGGCCCTTGCTGTGACCCGGGGGGTGCTGGGGTGTAGCTAGGTTGGCCATGGTACTGAAGGTCTTGGCGCCCTCTTCTGTGTCTCCTGAGGGGCCATGTGGGGTGCTCAGGTGAGTGTTCCCCTGCTGCAGAAGAAGGTGCAGTGAGATACCTGCTGCCTAGGGCTCCCTCTGGTCTCCACCTGGTGGTGACAGATGGTATCGCCTAGGAAGAGCAGCTCTGGCCCACCTGTGGATCTGCTTGGCCTTGGTATGTGCCAGACACTGGTGTGCCAGGCCCTTGGTGTGTGCTGTGAGCCCACCTGTCAGGCCCTCCCCAGAGGAAGAGGCCAGTCTTAAATCTCCCAGAGCCTTCCTGGGCAGGGAGGGTGCAAGGTGCTTTGTGTGTGTTGGTGTTGGGATTCCCTGCAGTCTGGCTGAGACAGGTTCTCACAAGGTCTCCCGTGGGCTTCGGTCTCCCGTGGGCTCCAGCCTCCCTGAGCCCTGGCTCTCCTCTGTGACTGGGTGCTGTGGTCACTGCTAGCCTTGGCCTGTTGCTATCCCTGCGTTGCGTGTTCCTCGAGAGTGCAGAAGCCTCCCCTTCCCGGCAGTCCCAGGCCTTGCAGCGTCTTCCAGAAGGTTCTCTGGCACCTGCTCCCTTCACTGCTCAGTGGCAGTCAGAGGCTGTGTCATCATTGCGGGCCTTTGAATGTCTCTGTCTGTCTGCTCCCCTGGACCTCCCTTGGTGCCTGGACTGTGTCCTGTGCCTCCTTAAGAGCTGCTTTCTTGGAGTTGGGAGACGTGGTCAGCCAAGGTGCCCTGGGTTCTTCGAGCTTTCATCATGATAAGCTGCCTACAGGGTCCCTCAAACCCTGACATTTTTGTTATTTCTAAGTCTCGTATCTTATTTTGTGTTGATAGTAGAATTTTGTTACTTAATATGGCAGCTTCCTTTTTGGCTTCTCCTAATTTCAGGTATAGTCAACCCTCAGTACCTGTGGTTTGGTCCCAGGACTTCCTGCAGATGCCCAAGTCCCTGGGGTGAAGTGGCGTGGTATCACGTGTCCCCTCTGCACATTCTGCCGTCAGCCTTATGCCATCTCTGTCACTTACAAGCCTGCCATGGTGGCATACTGTGGGGGTAGTTGGTGCTGTGTTGCTTAGGGAATAAAGATAGGAAAAACAGTCCATGCATGTTCAGTGCAGGGACAGCTCTTTTTCTGATTATTTTTTGACCTGTGGGTTGCTGAATACACGGATGTGGAGCCCAAGGATGTGGCGGGCTGGCTGTACTGGTGATTAGTGATTAGTTCACACGACCGATGAGAGCTGGCGATCTGTACTAATGTACAGAGTGGACACCGACAGCTGATTGGCTTGTATGCGTGTCTGGGAAATTCAGTCCTGACCTTTCTACAGAGATATAAGAGGAGTACTGGGAGATATTTGTGGAACACTTGAGCCACATCAGTGTAGAAGTTAGATTCATTGTGCTATGAAGGAGTTGGGTCATTTCACTTTAATGTGACACCTTACTTTTGTATATATTGAGCACATTGTGAGTGAAGTTTCTTCCTCCTCTCTTCCCCTTCTCCCTCTCTCCCCCTCTTCTCCTTCCTCCTCATCCTTCTGTGTGTGAGTTTTTGTGGTTAGGTGTTGTCTGTGGCCAGCTCTGTTCAGATACTAAAAACAGAGAGACCAGGGGCAGATCCTGGGTGTGGCAACGCCCTGGCAGTCATGAAACGGGTGGATTCAAGACAATGGCAGGCTCTAGGCACTCCTGCCTGCCAGGCCAAGCCAGTGCTTGTGGGTGCTCCTGGGAGCTCACAGGGATAGTCCTGCCTCAGGGAGTGGCTATGCTGTGCCGAGCACCTGAGAGTGCCCTGCCTGACCTCATGAGGCTGTGGGGCCACACAACTGTCAGCCCTGCTCAGGGATAGGGGCAGGAGGGAGGGGCTCACTCACTTGCCTGAGCCCGCAGACTCAGGTGGAGCTGGTTGCCCTGACTCTGCACCTGTGTTGCTGGTGAGAGGAAGCGTGCCAGGATCTGTGTGGCCTGTGCTCTTCTCCCTGGGCTTTTGCGTGAGGCAGTGGTTTCAAATGCTCTTGGAATTGTAGCACCCAGCTGAAATTAGTTCTGGTACCCCCGTCATGCATGCGTTTATTAATTTTAATGTGATTTTCTGTTGTTTATTATAAACATCCAGTAAGCCTTTTATTGAACCATTATGTACAGAAATACCAACGAATGAAAACAGAGCCTGCAAAATCACAAGTGCACCCAGGGCACCGGGTGGACAGAAGCAGCCCCATAGAGGCCCCTGCAGGGCCTTCCCCTCACCCTAGGTGCAGCCATCTTCCTGACCTCCTAATGTTGAACTTTTCATATGCTTACTTTCCAAATGAAATAAAATTTGTACAAAGTCTTGACGTCCCCGAATAGAAACATCTTAGGGTGTTGTGAGCTGAGAGTTGGTGTGTGGCGTTTGCTGCCTAAATATTTACTGGCATCAGAGAGCAGTCTGGTGTGAAGGACCCACACCCTGGAGCAGAGTGGCCTTGCAGATGTCATACGCATCACCCAGGGGCTGCAGTGGGTCTGAGATGGCTTCCGCCTTCCTGTAGGGGGCCCCAGCCTTCATGGTCTCGGCCGTCTCGGCACAGTGGGCTTCCTGTCTGCCTGGATCCCAGGTGGGTGCTACACACATGGTAGATCTGCGTCCCTGCTGGAGAGCCCCGGGTTCAGGAAATCCCTCATGCTGTAATGGGCATGTCCGCAAGGCAAGCCTGCTTACTTCTGCCCGCAGAGGAGACGGCATCCTTAGTACCCAACTCGCATCCTCTCTCTGGCCAAGAGGGAGAAACCAGTCGCGGCCCCAGGCTGCTTGCCACGCAGGCATTCTGGAAAACAGTCTGGGCCGAAGCTGCCATGGACACACAGGGATGTAAGGAGAGCTGCATCCCATCCACATCCACCCAGTCTCGTCCTGTCTAGGCTTCCAGCAGGATTTCTCGTTGATTAGCCTGATTGGGACCGAATCTGTCTGGTCACAGGGCATTCAGTCAAGGCCACCCCCTCAGCCATGTCCCAGGGGCCCAGCTGCACAGACATCTTAAAGCCCCAAACATCCATCCCATTCACTCAGTGATGGGTTGTTGCTGAGGAGGGTAATGAATGAAATGGGGCCCTTCTCCCTCACAACTTCCAACCAGATGAGCAGGCAGCACTCTCCATGTGCTGAGTGCCATGCCCTGGAGGGAGGGCGGATGTGGGAGAAGCTGGGTGGGGGCTCTGCCTGTGGCCACATGGGCAAGCTGTGGACTGGGGAGACTAGCCAGGCAGCCACGACAGTCCAGCCACACCTCCTTCCCTGCAGTGGTTGTGCACCCTGTGGTCTGCGTGTGATAGCATATTGTGTGTTCTCAGATGGCTGCGTCCTCATATATCCTATAGTTAGGGTCCCATTTGATGCAATCTCTTCAAATGCAGGTGTGGCTTTTCAGTGTGTCTTATCTAGTCTTGTGTTGGGGACATGGTGTCTAGTGCAGCAGTTGCATGAAAGACCTGGCTCTTGAGAGTGTAAACTGTATGAGCTGCAGGAACCAGGGACCAGATCAGGGTAGGTGGTGCCCAGCAGGGCATTTGGCACACAGTGGGACTCATGAATGTGCTGCCAGAAAGTGGAGGACCCCACAGCCTCTAGCCGTGCCGTGGAAAGCCCACACTTTTTGATGTCTGGGGGAATTACACTGGCTGGCTGTCCTGTTTGTATAAGTAAAGTCATGTTACAGTGAAATTCTGTGAGAGAAGTGGGAGAAATGCCACTCTACCCTTGGACCCCTCTCTGCTGTCAGAACCTTGGCTAGGCATCGCCGGCCTGGCTCTGACCCTGGCAGAGTCCTGCACTAGTGCCTGGATCTCGCACAAGGCCCTCGTATTAACTTGCACAAGGCCCTTAACCTTACATTATCTGTACGATGAGAGAGTTGGGCTGCATGTTCCATGAGGGTTCGTTCAAATCTATCATCCAAGACTTTCCAAACTGTACTGATAAATGTAAATGTGAAAACATGATAGGACACCTTCATTGCTTGCAGCTATGTAAAACTACATACATACAATAAGTTAGTACACGTACGTGTTACTACTCAGTTCTGTAGAACGCTGTAAGGTTAGCTGGGGTTATGAGAAGGGAAAGCACTTGTCTGCAGGATTGTTTTCTCTATGCAATGAAGTTGATGAATGGAAGTTTCTGAAGGGGAATGTGCGTCTAAAGGGAACATCACGGCCAAAAGACAGTGCTCCTTGGAACGGTCTGAGAGTACATCCTGGGACTGAGGTCCAAGGCCCAGGGCCCTGGCAAAGTCTCCAATGATGTCCTCCTCAAGTTTCGTCCAGCAGTGGACACTGATCCAAGCAGTGTGGCTTTGCTGGGTGCAGGGACATAGAGTGTGGTGAGGGAGATGACAGTATGAACCCTCTGCCTGGGGGATGGGCATGAGTCTGGGACTCAGGGGTCCTGGTTCCAAACCAGCCCTCCTGCTCTGGCTGCTCCTCCTTCACCTGCCGAGAGGGTACAAGGGCTTTGTCCTGCAGCCATAGGTGGATAGAGAGTCAGCCATGTGCTGCAGCCTGTGTGAGCCCAGAGCTGCAGGGGAGGTGGCATCCTTTCATGGTTGCTTGTGTCTCCAGTCCACGGGTGATGGCACAGTGTTACTGTCTCTTCTCCTTCAGAGGCAGAAGAGGCCTGGACCTTGGCGCAGACAGACCCAGGAACAGATGAGCAGGGACATCTGCATCCACGCCTGGCCATGCACCTACTACCTGGAGCCCGAGAGGCGATGGGTTGCTGGACAACTGTCCTTAACGTTGCCGTCACTCAGGTTCATGACTGACAGCACTGGAGAGATTCTGGTCAGCTTCCCCCTCTCCAGCATAGTTGAGATCAAGAAGGAGACTTCTCATTTTATCTTCAGCTCCATCACCATCCTGGAGAAGGGCCATGCCAAGCACTGGTTCAGCTCCCTGCGGCCAAGTCGAAATGTGGTCTTCAGCATCATTGAGCATTTCTGGAGGGAGCTGCTGCTGTCTCAGCCTGGAGCTGTGGCAGACGTGTCTGGCCCCAGGACCCGGGGCAAGGAGCTGACGGGACTCATGGCCGGATCCCAGAAACGCCTGGAGGACACGGCGAGGGTCCTGCACCACCAGGGCCAGCAGCTGGACAGCGTCATGAGAGGCCTGGACAAGATGGAGTCAGACCTAGAGGTGGCGGACAGGTGGGCTTGCTGTGTACACTTTGCAGGGCACACACAGAGTAAGATGCACGTGTGCGGAGGCTCATTGTGCCAGGCACCGTTCCAGGCCACTGCACCATATTTGCCCACATCCAGCATTCTGAGATCATGGCTGTGCACCTGCTGTACATGCTTAGTGGGTACACACAGTAAGATCCAGCACTCGGAGACCGAGGCTGTGTATACACTGTGCGCTCTGCTGGAAACACAGTGAGATCTGAGTGAGTGCTGGCTCACTGGGTGCCTGGCACCACTGCTCTCCACTGCACCATGCTGAGTCCACACCCAGCAAGCAGAGACTGTGCTGTGACCTCCTGTATACACTCCTGTTTCTGGCTTCTATGTGGTGATGGGGATAGGCCCTGGCCTCTGAGGTCACAGAGGGTGGAGTGAGGTCTATCTTGATGATGGCCTCTGTTAGTGAGGTGTCCCCTGTCAGTGTCTGTGGCTCCTATGTGGTAATGGGGATGGGCCCTGGCCTCTGAGGTCACAGAGGGTGGATTGAGGTCTGTCTTGGTGACAGTCTCTGTGAGTGAGGTGTCTCCTGTCAGCGTCTGCCATTTGTTCATGAGCTATGTTCTCCTGTTATGTTTCTTAGTATGAAAATCTTAGTGTATGTCCAGAAAATTTCTTCAGTTTGTTTAAGAATGCTTTTCTTTTTCCAAGTCCCATTTTTGCTTTCTGAGTCCTGCTGTCTTCTGTTTGGGTACTCATTTCTTATTTGGCTTTCTTTTAGTGTTGCTATTCTAGTGTATGTTTCTGGTTTTTATCTTCCTACCATTTTTCATTTGTACTTGTAATTTCTTAGAACTCTTTCGTGTTCCTCCAGTTTCCTGGAAAAACCTTTGGGTCTTACATCATGGCCTGAGCATCTTCTCTGTTTGGATATTATTAATAGTCTTGTTTTGCTTATGGTTTCTGGGTTTTCAAGGTGCTTGTTTATTGCCTGTCTTTTTTGTCGCGGTCATTTTTCCTGAGATGGTGTGTGTGGGGCTGAGGTATCAGCCCCGGCCGCTTTACTGGGACCCTCAGTTCCTCGTCCTGGGGTCTCCTGTCTGGAGCATGAGTCTTGGAGGGCTGCTTTCTGGCTCAGGTAGAAGGTTCACTCCCTCTGCCCTCAGGTTCCGTCCAGTCCCTCTTCTGGGACCCAGGGGTGCCCACTTGGGTGGGTCCATCTGGGAGCCGAGGGTCTCCCAGTGCAGTGCCACATGGACTTCTGCCTGCGTGTTCCTGGTTCTTCCTGCCCGTGCTGGGAGGGTGCTGGTACTCCTTCCTCGTCACCCCATGGGGCTCTGGCATCCTAATTGCGTCATCTCTCAGCATCCCACTGCTGGCATACTGTCCGCTTTCCTGGATTTGCCAGTCTGCCCCCTTTTCAGTGTCAGGGTGCCACTGTGTTTGTCTGTTTCCTTTGTCTTTGGAGAAGTGTGTGTTGAGTTTGCCATCCTCTATTGCTCTCTGCCCCTTTTTTAAGGACACGTCTTTGAGAGCACGTGTGTATGTGCACGCGCGCGCGTCTGTGTGTGTCTATGTGTCTGTGTGTTGTCTGTGTGTTTGTGTCTGTGTGTGTCATCTGTGTGTGTGTGTTTCAGTACACATAGCTCAGGTTTTTAAATGCTTTCAATTATTTTTATTATTTCTTGAAAAGTCGTTTTGAAGCGTGTTGTTTCTCGTTTTGTGATTATTTGGAGGAAAGTGAGAACTTCCTCCCAGCACCCACAGCTGCAGTGGGCAGAACCTCTGTGTCCCTGGAACCCCGCCTCAGCATTGGCCACTGTCCTTCAGCTCTAAGGTAGGGTCGTATTGGTGCATCAGTATAGCATGCGGGTTAGTTGGACTGAGGTCACATCTTCTACTTGACTAAGAGGAGATCCTTTCAGTCAAAGCTTTGCTGGCACAAGACTGGAGCCGGAAGATGACAGAGCCCCAGACAGTCCCAGCTCCTCTGTGTAGCTGGCAGGTGTGTGTTCTACCCTGGCCAGAGTCTGCAGGGGGCCAGCAGCTGGAGCCCCAGGGACAGTCATAGGCCCAAGGCCATGACTCTGTTGCTCGGATCAGTTCTTGTTCTTTTAAGGTCTTCAGCAGGTTGCACGGGGCCTGCCCGCATTACAGGCCCAGCTGCTTTCCTGGGAGTCCACCAATTTCTATTTAATCTCATGGACACACACACACCATCACAGACACGTGCAGAGTAGTGCTTGATGACTGGGCCTCGTGGCCCTGCTCTGTGGACACTAATGTGACCGTCCCGGCCTCCTGGTGAGGTCCCTGCCCTGGTGAGCTGGGACCAGCCCTCTGCCCTCCAGCCCGTGGGATTCTGGAGCCCTCCCCATGGTGCCTCCACTCTGGCTCCTCCCTGCCCTGACTCGCTGCTGAGGGGTGTCCCAGGGCTGGACCCTGAGAGTGTCTGCAGGGGGAGGTCCGGGGATACTCGCAGAAGACTGAGCCCTGGCCATAGGTGAGGGTGCTGTGGTCCTGGAGCGGAGGCTGTGGGTGCACAGTGTGGCTTTCCCTGCTTCCTGGGGTGTCGTCCTCCTCCCAGTCACAGACAAAACAAATGCCATGGAGAAGGAGCATCTTTTTCTGTGCCCAGCCGAGTTTCCACGTGGCCACCTGGCATCCGTGCTAGCGTTGTGTGCGCCCAGAGACTGTGTAGAGGGAGATTGGGAGGAGGCTGCCAAGGCAAGCGACCTGCAGTCCTGCCGGGCTGACGACCTCAGTCCTCCTGCCTGGCGGGAAAGAGCTCTGAGCACCAGCGCTAAGAACGAACCAGACACGAATGCAGGCAGGCACAGGGCCTCACTCTGACATGCTCCTTGGCACATGAGAATGGGGGTGCCGAGGATCAGCTGAGAGCGCGCCTGGCCGGCAACGGGGCCTGTGGTGGCCAGGATGGGTGGTGGGACAGGTGGTGGGGCTGACACAGGGTAACGGGCTACTCCTGGGAGACAGCTGCTGAGCAGGAGAGAGACATGGTGGTGCAGGCCGACGCAGGTGAACATAGGACGGCCTGTCCCATGAGAGTGGGAGACACGGGGCAGGCTCTTCACCTCACAATCAAGGCCACACTGGTCAGGGAGCACTAAAGGGGCCCAGGTACTGGGTCAGATGCTGATGCTGTGGGTGGAACTCTTGTTTCTCTGGCTCAGCCCGTCTTTGGGTAACCCACTGCATTTCCAGAAGGGACAGGTCCATCGCTTGGTGCCCGGCTCATTTCCCCAGGCCCACAGGCAGGGCTCCCAGCCTCCAGGACATGCAAGAAACAGAACAGACACAAGCAAGACAAATCTGACACAGGATTTTGAAAAGCAGGTCAGAAACAATGTGAAAGATTGGGGCCAATTATATAAAGACTTTGTTTTTAAGTATAATTAATTTTTGCAGCTTTATTGAGGTATTGCTGAGAAAACCTGTGTATGTTTCAGGCATGTGGCTTGGTGCTGCAATGTTTGTACCCACTGTGAAGTCGCCACCACAGTCATGCCCATGAGCACAGCTCTCACCTCACATGCCTGTCATTTTGTTCCCTTTTTCTTTTTTTCCTTGAGAGTGTTGAGAACACCTAAGATCTGTGTTCTTGGCAGATTTCAAGTGTATTATTAGTATGGAGAGCTGCAGCTACCATGTCATTACTGCCCAGAGCTTGTTCATCCTGTAACCAAAGGTGGCCCTTGGCCACCCTCTCCCAGCTTCTCCACCCGCCCCACATCTGCCCTTCTCTCTGCTTCTGTGAGTTTGGCTTCTTGAGGTCCCACATGCGTCATGCAGGGTTTGTCTCTGTGTCTGGCGCCTTTCACTCAGCATAATGTGCTCCATGTCTGTCCATCTTGGTGAAATGGCAGGATTTCCTTCTTTTTTATGGCTGAATAAAATTCCATGGCGTATAGACACTATATTTTTGTACCCGAACTCAGGTCTCGGCCACTCATTGCTTGAAAGCAAAACCCAAGAGATGAGCTTTGGTGAAAGGAAAGTTAGCTTTATTAAGGAAGCCAGCAACCTCTGGGTGTTAGACTCGTTTTCAAAGACCACCTCCCTGAGTTGTGACTACAGATCAGGGGTTTTTAAGGGAAATTAGGGGAAATGATTAAAGCACCCTTGTGAAACCTGCAAAGTCTCAGATGGGCAGTCAATCCTTGCTTTCTTGGTCAATGCTTTGTGGCCTTCTGCAGGCACCATCAGCCTGTTCTTATCAGGCTCATCAGCCCGTTCCCAGAGCTGTTGGTTCCCAGAGCTGTTGGTTCCCAGAGCTGTTGAGTCCCAGAGTGAGTTGTTGGTTCCCAGGGTTGTTCGTTGGTGTATTTTCTTTTATTTCTGTTGAAGGTCCTGTTTTCCCAAGGCATTTTTAATAATCTACAGACTCAAGCAAAGCAATAATTAAATTCAAGTAAACAAGCTTTTCTCTTAAGTTGGAGTCAGTACTGTTCCATTTTCTCAATCCATTCGTCTGTGGATGGACATGTGGTTTCCATGCCTTGGCTATAGTGAAGCACGATGCAGTGAACATGGGAGTGCCGGTGTCGCTTTGAGATACTGGTTTTATTTCCTTTGGCTATTGTGGAGGCTAAAGCAACTCTATGTTGGATGCTAATCGGCTTTGTTAACATCTGATTAACCCCAATTCTGGGGATGCCTCTTAAGATTTCTACCTCACTTATTGTTCCTTGTGTAAGGGCAGGTACTTACCACATACCCTGCCCTTGGGCAGGTTCATATGGGATTCTTTTCCTGCGGGGTCTGTCCTACACATATGCCCCCTGTGGTGCAGAAGCCCTGGGTCTGGGGGCCATGGTGTGGGATCCACTGCCTCATCTCACCGCTGCCCAAGACACAGACCTGCCTTCCTGTACATAAGTCACTGTTAGATGCTTCCTTCTAAGAAACGGGGTCTGTCATCTTCTTTCTGCAGCCTCTCAGCTTCCTCACGTCGCAGGCAGTTTTACACAGGCCTGCCCACCGTGGAACAGGTGTAAACCCACAAG